TCACCAGTCTCACTGCTTGTGGATAGAAGCTATTGAAGAATCTAGTGGTAAGTGACCGTATGCTCTTATATCTCTTGCCTGAGGGCAGTGGGGTGAAGAGCTCATGCCCGGGGTGGTGACTGTCCTATGTGATGGCCAGAATTCTACCACGGCAGCGGTCCTCATAGAGCTGTTTAATCTCGGTGAGACCGCAGCCGATGATCTTCTGGGCCATATTGACCATTCTCTGCAGTGCCTTTTTTTCTCGCGAAGAGGTGTTGGCATACCACACGGTGATCCCGTTGGTGAGGACGCTCTCGATAGTGCAGCGGTAGAAGTTCACCAACACATGTATTGGCATCCCCCATCGCTTGAGGCACCTCAAGAAATAAAGGCGCTGCTGAGCCTTTTTCATGATAAAGTCAGTGTTCACAGTCCAGGTTAGATCTTTAGAGATGTGAATTCCCAAAAACCTAAAGCTGGTGACTGTTTCCACTTCCGTTCCATCAATACTGAGTGGGCTGTGAGTGTGTGGCCTGTGTCTCCGAAAGTCCACTATTAGCTCTTTCGTTTTCTTTATGTTCAAGTCCAGGTTATTGCTATGACACCACCTAAGCAGCTGTACAACTTCATCCCTGTAAGTTGACTCGTCATCATCACTGATCAGTCCTATTATAGTGGTGTCATCGGCAAACTTAATGATGCGGTTGTTGCTATGTCTTGCTGTGCAGTCGTGAGTAAATAGGGAGTACAACCTTGGACTCAGACAGCAGGCTTGTGGGGTTCCAGTGCTCAGGGTGAGTGGTGTTGATGTTTTATTGCCTATCCGCACCACCTAATCACCACCGAATCACAATAAATCCTGGATTTGGATGCCGGTGGGTTTCTGGTGAGGGACATAGAAAGCGTGACAACAAGTTTGGTGCAAAAGTGATTTATTTAAAAAGGTGAATAAGTGACTGGTACAAATACAGGACTCAATAACACACAGGAAAAAGGGAACTGCCAAAGAAAAGAAAATAACAAACATAATGGAGCTGGTTGATAAAGTGAGGGAAAGCTGACCTAACTACCAAAACAAAAACCCAAAACACTCAGTCTTCGGCATCTTCTAGTGCCCTAGCTAACCTTCACTAACTACCCAAAATCCATACTAGACAAAAGGCACTCATGTCCTAAACTAGTGTTACTAATACAAAGACCAACTACGTATGTACAATTTACCTCACAACCTATACTAACCCTTTACACAAAAGTTCACACAAATAAACAAGTGAAGTATGAATACAAATAAGGGAAAATGAGAGTAGACACAAGGAACAGGGTACAAAAGAACACAGAGGTTGATATAATATGTTTAGGCAAGGTAATGGCGAAACAAAGATAAACATAAACAAACGAAAGTTCAAGGAGATGAACACAAACCAACAAAACCTAAGCTACACGAAAACACACACACGAAGCGAAATGAAAGAAAATGGAGAAGCAAAGCCAAAGCAAAATGAACGCGAAACAAAACTGAGCCAAGCAGAACCGAAGTCAAGCGAAAGGCCCCTTCATTCTGATAGTTAACTCTAAGTTATATACTGAATAAGCTGAGTTGATTGGTCGAGAGTTAATTGACGATGACGTAATATGGAAACAATGGTGTAACGATGGACCAATGGGGGAGGGATAACAATCAAAGTCAGGAAGTGTGGAACATAGCAACAAAAACACACATGGACCACACACTGGGACGTAACATATACAAACAATAAAACTCAGATCTACGTGTCTGTCTTATCTCTGGATATAAGGTTTTTTAGAATCTCATGTTGATGGGAGAGCATGAGAAACCATGAAAGCTGAACTGTTTTTGTGGTAAAGGTACTGTATATTGCATAAAGTTTTGTGACTTAAATGTACTATACCATGCATTCCATACCACATCAGAGACTGATTAGAGCTTTCTTTTCAGAGATTTTAGAATACATTAAATGAATTCACAGTAATGAATTCCTTATGATTGTGCATTGAAACATAGATGCATTCAGTGTATGTTAGAGACTGAATCTCTTCTGCCTGGGATGAAAACATTGGCTATTTAATGTACTTGCCGTAGTTTCCAATGTTATATAAAGGCAATCACAGCAAATGCCTCATCTGAGCTCCCATACTGATAACCCTAACTCAGACCTCCCTTAATTTTAACCCTGAAACCTCAGCCCAAACCTCAACAGCATCTTTCATATGAGAAAGTCACCATAATCACGGTGTTCCAAAATTGCATGAGGGCTGCAGTTAATAGCACAGAATTCTTTAATGTACATGGCTATGTCAGGAAATGCATTAGTTCTGTCCCTTTATTCAGCTCACATGTGATTAAAAACCATTGTACATTCTGTGAAGGGGACACTCCTTGTTCTATTTTAAATAGACACTTTAAAAAATACATTATTTTAGAAGTTTTAAATGAATAAATACCACTCCCAAAATCCAAAACTATTTTAAATATTTGTCTTTTATCTCTTATTATTTTTTTATGCTCTGCCACAAGTCAAAATATATAAGAAACACTGAGGGTGGGTATGCGGGACAGCATGATTGAAAGGCAGATTAGCACTGGCATCTGTGTGAAACATTCTACTAATTTCTGAAAGTCAGGAAAATAATGTCACAAATTGCTACCAGATTTTATTTATTTTTAAAGGGTATGTTTAAAAAGGAACATGAGGTGTCTCCCTCACAGAATGCAGTTTTTAATCACTCATAAGCATGGACTAAAAAACTGCATTTCCCGATGTGCCACACACATTAAAGAATTCTGTGAAGTAATATCCACGGGCATCCATACTGTACATTAGTGCTGTCCACCTACAGCCACATGCTGCATGTGGGCCGCAAGCAGATTTTAAATTGTTAAATTAATTAAACATATCATATTTTTAAATAATTCATATCTCAGAATAACTCAAAGCATGATATTTTCCCCTTACGTTTTAATTAAGTTACCAAAATAAATCAACTGGAAGCAGATATATATAGATAGTTGTGAAAATGCTGTTTAAACAACAGACATTTGTTTTTCTTTTTAATATAATATATTATAAATGGTAATAAATTTTAATTCTTACAGTTTCTTATGTCTGGAAAATGGGAAGTGTAGCAAACACAGTGAGCAAACATCGAACAAAAACTACTAGATTAAAGAAGAAAACTATATGTTTCATCCAACTTGGGAAGTTTAATTTTTGTAAATGGTGCCTGTTTGTTTGCCACAATACTGTATTAGTTTTGAAAATGGCCAACGTACAGAGACACTGCACGTCGATGCATGGAGATTTCAAGGAGAATTAATCAACATTTAATATTGTACAACAATGTCTGCCAATCACTCATAGCTGTCGTACTTTAAGGTTTTACTGCACCACCTTTCAGTTTTATAGCATACTGCAATCCTGCATCAGACTATTTGAGGAATAAAAAAAGCTATGTCAAGCTTCTGCCCGTGATACTGCAATGCCTACCGTAGTACAGTATACTGACTGACACCTTGCTCATTCTTGAAGGCTAGTGATAAATTGAACAATTGAACACATTTTGCTCTGACTATGGAATAGATTTTAGCATTATTATCCAAAATTATTTAAAATATTATGGTAGTGATTATTTCAAACTACTGTATGTAAATTTTGGTTCTGTTGTAAGGAATACAGTATTGTCAGAATTTCTTACTGAACAATTTGCTAAAATGAGCTACATTCATTACATCACAGGTCATTATATGAACACTCAATTATAAGAATTTTTGCTTTAATTAAACATATTTTAATACCAAATTTTTGCTGTACAAAGTTGTTTTGTATCAATTAATTTTCTTTGCCTTTGCCACTTGCCTTGTAATATCATGTTTTATAATTGAACATCCTCCATGTTTTTTACATCATCTTGGCAGAACATGTTGCCAGTGCTTCAACTGTTACAAAAGCAAAGAAAACAAGTAAAACATTTCCCCTGAAATGTAAAACTTAAAGCAACCTAACAGCTCAACAGTACATTGGAGAAATCCTATTGTGACCAGCACACTTATTCCTGTGAGCCCACTGAGAGTTTCAAAATTTCAAAATTCAAAACAAGTTAATGCAAATGTGGAAATGTTCAGGTTTGAAAAGTGTATCTGAAGACTATTGCATTAATGTCTTACCATGCTCAGGATTTTCTCCTAATCCAAGCCAAATTAGACAGAACTACGGTATTTACTGTATGTTACTGTATGTTATGTTAAAAAAAAGTCACACCCATGGCTTTTAGAGAGAGAGTTTTTAGCGAGAGAGCTCAATATTGTAACTCATATAGAGCTGCTATAAAGTGTCAAGTCTCAAGCATAAGCCTGAGTAGGACATTTGCACGTTGCCTTTGTCTCTTTCAAGAAATTGTGTAATATGTGTTTTCCATACATTGTTATGTGTCACAGAAATCCACTTTTTTGTCTGTGCTTTTTAAATTATAGACAACTGTGAACATACAGGTTTAAGGAACAAGAGATAAATGTTATGGTTTTGTCTTTCATTCCTCAATTATAACTTGTAATGCATGGCATTGATAGCCTACAGGTCAGTTTAACTACACAGATCTTTGTACTGCCTCTATGCACTATCTGGAGAACTAATGTATATTTTGGTGATTAAAATAAACTGTTTGGGAAAAGAAAGACTGCATGCAGTTAAATTGTTAAAACTGTTACTCTCTGTTTAGGTCTACTAGACTAATGTCATAGTTCAGTTTGTTCTTGTAATTTCTGTGGTTACTTCTAAGGGCTTGCTTAGATAAGAATAAGGTATTGCTGTTTTTCTACCAACGCTGTAACAGAGTCTAAAATTCATTTGTGGTACACGCATCCAATTTGGTGTAACTACCTTTACAGTTTGAATTACACAAGGCAGTATCACTTCATATTTATTCTGTGAGGGGCGAAACCATGTTTCCTATTTTGGTTCACTGTGGTGTTTTAGTGTTTCATCGTAACATTTCTCCACATTAGAACAATACAGTATTACCTTCAAACATCCTAATATGATGACTCTGTTTATTTGGTTTCATTTACTGAGTAAGTACAATACAATTCCAATTATTTGAATTATTTTTTTATTATTTTTACCAGTTTTTTATTCTTATTTTATATTTCTGTTATTATTTTGGAATGTTTCTTCTTGTAATTTTTTAATGGACTTGTTTTTGTTCAAGTTATAGTTGGAGTTCATGTAAGATCAGAAGTGTCAGGTATGTTACTTCTTTTCTTTGTATTACCAAGTACAATTATACAGTACCAAGTGCCATATACTGTAGAAGATTTGATCATTTTTTTATCAGGGGTTATGGATCCTCTAGTAGCCAAAACCTTACATTGATTATGATTTCATTTTGAAATATGTTTTAGTAAAAAAAAAAAATCTGTAATTTCTTATTGGGTCCCTGACTTTAATATGAACTGTATCTTGGAAATATTTTAAATTTCCAAGCTGTCAAATGATAAAAGACAAACAAATATGTATATCTGGCAAATATGTATAGGTACAGTGAATACAGTACATTGGGAATGCAATAATTACATTTAAAAAAGAATGCTGATTGGAATATATATACAAAGCATGTATTTGTGGCTTATTCAGAGAGAAGCAGAAATAAGAAAAAAAAAGAATGATTACGCATGATTGTTATATAATGTTTAATAACTATCACTACTACCAATATACTTTTCTGAACATTTTTTAATACCTGTACCTGTAGAGATAACAGCGGGAACCACAATGCAAAAAAGACCTGGAGTAAATACAGTACAAAGCTTATTTAGATTGATGAATTTTGCACAATATGCGTGTTAGTTGCTACAATAACAGAAGCTACAGTATTCAGAGTGTAATTGAAAGAAAAGCTAAAAACAATCACAAACAAAATCCGAATATATCTTAAGTGGTTGATACAGACATTCCACTTTGTATTTTATATTGATAAAAGTGTACTCACCCGTTGTTCAGTAAAAACAGGTAAAATATTCACCTCCATAGGGAAACCTATTCTGACAATTATTTGTTTATCAGAACTGCATCTGGATACATTGCAGCACTACATGGTTGTTGCCCATTGTGTTTGGACCTGAACTGAGTTTTAAACCACAGACTATATGAACTTTGAGATCTAGTATTTATATGTAACAAGGATGTGTTGATTTGATTACTTCACAACCTGTTAATTAAATAAAAATGCGTTAGCTCACTGTTTTCTTTGTTGCATTGTACTGTTCCCCACTTTTGTATTTTTTTTTGTATATACGGTATATACTACATACATTAAATAAATTGTGTAAATTAATTAAAAGAAACAAGATGTGAAAAAACAACCAGCACTAAAACTTCCTTATCTTTATTCTATTCTAATGTCGTTAAATGCACCACTACTGTATTGAACTGTATGATCATCAAATAGAAAGTGAGTAATTGCCTTTCTACAAGAAAGCAGAAAAAAGACATTCATCTTAAATTGTGTTTAAATGCATTTAATCAGTGGCATAAAGGGGCAAAACGTTTTGTTTAAGACTTAGAAATACAAATAATTAATCCATCCATTTCCTAACGGCCTCATCCCATTCACCGTCACAGGGGTGCCGGAGCGTATCTCAGCAAGCAGACAGAATACACCCTGGAAACACACCCGTCCATCGCAGGGCACACACAGTCACAAACACACAATCAGACCAGGGCCAGCTTTTTTCAAAAGCCAATTAACCTACAGTACCAGTAGGTCTTCAGACTGTGGGAGAAAACTGGAGTACCTGTGGGAAACCCGTGTGAATGAGGGGAAACATACTGTACAATCTGCATGGAGGGCCCAGTGTTACAGGTCAGCAATACTAACACTGCACCGCTGTGCCGCCCAACACTAAACATAATTTGGCATATTTATTATTTTGGAACAACAATGAACATTTCCTTATCACATGTACAGCTATGTCACTGCTTTAAATGTATTTTTAAAGTAGGAGATACATAAAGTGAACAGATTTGTGGTTGTTTTTTCCTGCAGGTCTCCTTCAAAAACCTTACATAGAGTCTCCAGAGAAACAAATGAATATAGAAGACACCATTATGATTCGCTGCAAATTTGGGAGTGGAATTCGCTGCTATTTCTATAATAATCA